CTCGAGGGCTGACCTGGACCCGACCTCTTTGCCATTGGACGTTCCTTTTGTTAGAAAGCTTTGCTTTTGAACGTTTATAACCAATACAAGTTTTTGTTGTGAACGTTCCTCTTCATAGTCGGGCTTCACAATAGGACGTTTGCTTAGCTTCAAAGCTTAACTCTAGGACATTTCATAGGGCCTTAAGCTTCTTCCTCGGACGTTTAACTATATGATAATCTTAAGATTCTAAAGTTCTAAATGTGTTGCCCCATCTCTTTTAGACGTTTAGCTTTAGAGTCAAACTTCACGTTTGGACGTTTGTTTGGCTTCGAAGCATCGCTCTTGAATGTTTTTTATACAGTCAAGCTTCCTCGTTGAACGTTTATTTGGCTGCTAAGCTTAACTCCTTGACGTTTGCATTCAGAGTTAAGCTTCAGGATGGGACGTCTGATTGGCCTTAAAGCATGCCCTTAAGACGTTTCTCGTAGCAATAAGCTTCCTCATAGGACGTTTAACTCTATGGTAAGTTTGAATATTAAAAGTTTTAAATGTGTTGCCCCTTCTCTTCTAGACGTTTAACTTCAGAGTCGGGCTTCCTATTTAGACGTTTGTTTGGCTTTTAAGCATAGCACTTGCACGTTTATTTTTACAGTCGGGCTTTTATATTGGACGTTTCTTTGGCTTCCGAGCTTAGTTTTGGGATGTTTCTTTGGCTTCCGAGCTTTGTTGTTAGACATTTGACTGCTTTTGTTTCTAGTAACTTTTTTTTGTCATAGGGTATTTTTGTAAATTTATTATTTTTTATTATTTTTTTAGGGCAAAATAGCAATCCTGATAGATAATAATTAAAAAAAAAGTGAAAGCATTTGAAAAAATCTATGTGTTACTATAATATAATTAGGAAACATATTAAATATAGTAAGTTCTAATTGAAGTCCCTCATCATACTTACTATTCATGAAAATTTCAGTATTATATCAGTTATTGTTAATTCATAACAAATTTATTTGAAACCGTTAGTTTAGTGGGTGGACACAAACAGTTTTATGCTACTGAATTATTAGTTAGTATAAGATTTGTTTATGGCAAATTTACCAAACTATACTCTATACTCCATATAAGAGTTATTAGTGCGGTACTCGTGCAATGCGGTTAGTAATATTAAAAAAAACATTTTTATTTGAATAATGGAATCATTGTTCAAAATATAACACATTTATTGGAATAAAACAAAATGTTTTTTTATATATTATTAACATCTTCTTGTACACAACGTTATTTGTTTGGTTTTTGGTACATCCTCATCGCCACAAGTTAAAATGTTAAATATGTTTCTTTATTAGAATTAACTAATTAGGATCGAAGTTACTATTAATTGGCACTCGTCTATTATTTTGGTATGAATTAGAGTCCTCCGTAGGGATGTAAATGAGTCGGGTCGGGTACGAGTTTTGGCAAACCCGAACCCGACCCGCATGTAATTTACTCTACCTAAACCTGACCCGTTACCCGGCTAGAGATCTTCGGGTTCAGGTTGGGTTTTACCTGATGGGTTAGTAGGTTTCGTCGGGTAAACGGGTAACACGAGTCTTTAATTTGGGTTTTACCCAACCCATCTCATTTCATATGAAAAAATAAATAAATTTATTTCAAAATTAATTATAATGTAACGAATAATTTATTAACTAAGTTTGACAATAAAAAAATATAAAAAATTATATTGTTTTTGAAATAAATAATGAGATATAATTATTTATCTTTTATAGTCTATTTAATAATATAACATTTAAAAGTTAAGTGTGTAATATTTTATTGTACAATTAACAAAAAATGATAATAAAATCATAAAAAATAAAATAAAATTTAACCATTAATCATAATTGTAATAGATAATCTAATTTTTAAAAATAACACATGACTACTCTTATATTTAAAATAAGTTATAAATATATATATATATATATATGTATATATATAAGATTCAATGGTTGCGCCAAAACGGGTAGAGTAATTGAGTTTTCCTACTATACCCGCACCCGACTCGACCCGGGTCTTGGGTAGCATAATTCTACCCGAACCCGACCCGAAACCCAATCATCTCAGGTTTACCCGACCCGAAAATGCGGGTAACCCGCGGGTAAACCGACCCTACGGGTTTATTGACATTCCTAGTCCTCCGTGATAAAATTTAGGTAAAATTGCATATCAAGACACCACCTTTTATGTTTTTGCAATTTAATCACCACCTTTGAAATTTTGCAAATTAATACACCATATTTACCATTTTTGCAAATCTAAACATGATTGGCGGTTCCGTTACAAAAATCTAGCGAAAATCTGACATGGCATTGACGTGGCTCAATGCCATGTCAGATTTTTG